ATCAAGGCAAGGCCAAAGCAGCACATGCCTGACGATCCGCACCATTACTCCGCTCCGAAACTGCGAGGGAAAGTGAGTGAAATTGGCGACAAGTCCATTGGCGGTATTGTGCTAGAATCCAACCCGACTCGTGTTTCTCGCTTTTCGCTTTCAACGCAGGGTCTTTTCCGGCACTGCCCACTGCGCATATGTGCAGGGTTTCTCGGTGTCTCACTCACTGATTTGTCGTGGTGGGCATTCACTCCTGTGTCAGTGTGCCTACCTAAGCATTCTAAGGTGCAAACACTTCATCATTCATGCCTTGAGGTGAGGTAAGCCAAAAAAAAACTGCCTATGAACGAATACACTGGTGGCACAGATTCTGTGGCGCCCGCGAAGTGTCTATCGTGATACGTACATAGGTATCCGTCCAGATGGACTGGACTGGATATCTGCGGTACATGAAGCTGGGGGGGCCCATGTCGATAATGTACTTTGATATTATGGAAAGGTACGGAGTACGGAGCATCTTATTAATCATGAGCGCGGCTGGAAAGGGTATGGCGGCCAGGCCGTGTCGCTACCGGACTCGTAGGTTGGCTGCCAGACACTACCGCACTAATTGCAGCCCAGCAACTAACTGGTCGCTGGTGCCCGCCGTGCTGCCATACCACCTCCTCCCGTCACCTCACACGCTCAACTGCACCACTGCACCTAATCCTCCGCTTGTCTGGCACTCTATCCATCCTTGCTTCTCAACCCCAAATCTCGCGCTCTTGACAGACCCGACGCTGCTTCTCCCCGTCTCCAAAGGTCTCTCCTCCACTCACTTCTCTACGCCTGGGTACCCTCCACCCTCCCCTCCACCGCCCCAACGACGACCGATAACCCATTCTCCGCCCGCCCTCTTCGCTCCTTCATCTTTACCTACACTACCGGTTACCGACGACTTTTGCCTTTATCGCCTTTGGACTTGAGGGTCGTCTGCAGCACCACACTCCGTACGAGTTACTCAGAAACCTCTCTTCAACGTCAATCCCACCAGGTCGAAGGGCCCCACGGTGCTTAATCCTTTGTGCGACCTCGACTAGTACGAAACACGACCGTCAGCAGCGATAGTAATTGTGCGCGCGCGCCCATGGAATGAGGGCATCTTTACATTCGGTTCACCCATCCGATAACAAGAGAAATCGCCGTTTGTCGTTCACAAACACTCTCCGGGTTGCCCGACCGTTCGATCTACAGGCATTGAATTAGTAGTTGGATTCGCTGAGACTTTGCCCTCGTTATGTCTTCAAGTACACCCACGCCGCCAGATACAAATGGCGCCAGCTCTCACAAACGACCTCACAGCCCAGACGCCGAGTCCAATGGTCGGGAAGGGGCCGCCGACAACAGCAATGTTCCCAAGCCGAAGCGCCTAGCATGTATGATATGCCGGAAGCGCAAGTTGAAGTGTGACGGGGTGCGGCCCAGTTGCAGCACTTGCGCCAGGCTGGGCCATTCTTGCGCCTACGATGAGGTACGCAGGAAAAGCGGTCCCAAGCGAGGATATGTCAAGGCTCTAGAGGAACGACTGAGTGAGCATTCCCGTCTTTGCGCCCTGCTCTTTTTGACATTTGCGTTCTCCGTTCCACGTCTTCTTCCTTTACCGTGTTCCTGACCATCATCGCCTTGACTGACTGAACGTCTTTGCACCCTGTATAGAACAAGTCGAGACCCTGCTCAAAACCCAAGACCCTCCACCCGTGCCAGCCAACCCCTCCTCCAACATACCTCACAACTTGGACGCAACCGCCGCGAATCGTAGCCGAACCACCGCCGCTCCGACCAGTTACAGTATCACCAATCCCAACCTTGGTCTCGGCGCTGATCACGACGTCGACCGATGGCGCTTCAACGGCGAGTCTCCTCAGGCTCAAAATGCGGCTGCCCCTCCAATGGATGATTTCAACTTCAACTCCAACATGTCAATGGGCATGAGCAACGCCGGGAGCAACTTCACCTGGGAAATGATTGGACTAGGCCTCGAAGAACCTCTGCCTCCACAGGAAACTATCGACGAGCTGTCAGTATCATCAGAGTATCTCCTGAAGGCCACTGTACTGACGAGTGATTTGCAGCCACCAAATCTTCTTTGAAAAGGTTCATCCATCCGTGCCTATGATCCACAAATATAGATATCTGGCAGCCATGAACTTGTAAGGGCCCCATACAGCTAGCGAAGATTGAATGTGGCTATGTACAAGAACGTACTGACACAAATGATAGAGCTCCGAACCAACGCCCACCAGTCGCGCTCCGATATGCCATATGGACCTTGTCATGCTCAATCACTGAAAAATACCTTGATCTCAAAGACCTGTTCTATCAAAGAGCTCGTAAGTATGTCGAGGCGGACTACATCAAAGGGTATGGCGAGCACATGATATCTGTGGCTCATGCTCAGACCCATGTGCTACTTGCCTCGTACGAATTCAAGATGATGTACTTCCCAAGAGCTTGGATGAGCACAGGGTCTGCCATACGCCTGTGTCAAATGTGAGCTCGCTATATCCACCATCAAGGACTCGGTAGCTAATAGGTGTTCAGGATTGGCCTACATCGCCTCGATGGTGCCGGATTGGACGTGAAGCAGTGTCTTCCGCCGCCAAGGGACTGGACCGAGCGCGAAGAGAGGCGACGTACATTCTGGATGGCATTCTGCGAAGATCGCTATGCGAGTATTGGCACCGGGTGGCCGATGACGGTGGATGAAAAGGACATTATGACAAACTTACCCTGCACAGAGGAGTCTTTCGACATGAGCCGACCTGAGCAGACACAGTCTCTGCAAGATTGCATGAGTCCTTCTGGAGCTGGCAAACTCTCCTCTTTTGGAGGCATCGTATTGATGGCATGCCTCTTTGGCCGCAACCTGATTCACTTGCACCGGCCTGACCCCGATGATCGAGACCACGACCTGAACGGCGAGTTCTGGAAGCGGCACCGCAATATGGACAACATCCTTCTCAATACTTCTCTCTGTCTGCCGTCGCACCTCAAGCTTCCCATTGGTTTGGGCAACCCCAATATCGTGTTCACCAACATGAGCATTCACACGTCGACAATCTGTTTGCACCAGGCAGCTATCTTCAAGGCAGACAAGAATAAACTTCCGGCTTCAGTCAGTGCAGAAAGCAAGGTGCGCTGTATCACAGCGGCGAACGAGATTGCGAGCATCATGAGAATGATCTCACACATGGACCTTTCAGCGGTATGTCCAGCAAGAGTCCCATGACACCCGGGGTACTAACATGTCTTAGATGAACCCTTTTATATCCTTCTGTCTTTATGTTGCAGCAAGGGTATTTGTTCAATATCTCAAGAGTCGTCCAGACGATAGCCAAACAGCCGACTCATTAAGGTTCCTTCTCTCAGCCATGAACGCACTCAAGAGAAGAAATCCTCTTACAGAGTCGTTCCTTGTGCAGCTGGACGTTGATCTGGAAGCCCTTGCGATGAGAATACCAAAACTCAAAACGGCATTCCCCCGCAGCGGTGAAAGCGTGAGTGAACAACATCGTATTGGCTTTCCTTGTGCTAACTATTTCACAGCCCAGCTCGGCCAACGGCAACGGCGGCGCCAAGAGCGGTGCTGTGTGTGACGATCCGGATGGCGTTCAGGGTATCATGTCCTACCGTAACGAGTGCCACTTCATGAAGACTGTGGATGATGATGGAAACGCTGCTAATGCACCAAACATCATTGAGCCTGGCCAAAATGACGAGGGCGTCCCGATATCTGCCTCTGCTACCCCCAATCTCGGCGGTCCAAACGGCTGGCTGTCTGCAGAGGCATCCCTGTTGTATGGTTCGAACACTACCAGCAACCTCCCATTGCATGGAAACTCATTAACACCGAGCTCCGGGTCCATGTACGACAAGTCCGGTTCAAGCAGCGGGCGCGTTACTGGATTCGGACAGAGCGAAAGCAGTGGCGACAACAACATGTCAGGATCACCAGACGGTGACCAGTCCAACCGGCCAACACCGAACTCAAACGCCTCAGATCCGCGAGTGAGTATGGCAGGCGGTCTCGATGGATCTGGGAGAAACTCTTTCGACGCCAACGCGCAATCCAGCAATAACCCGCGAGGTGGCGCTGACGCAAATGCCAACTTTTTCAACGACGCAGGTGGTTTTGGCCTTCGCACTGGGCTGACGCCAAACCAAAGGTTTTCTATGCCCGACACGCCTGGAGCGGATTTTGGATTGCCGAATGGCTGGGGCGACCTGCAGGGACAGACGGGCATGACGCCTGTTGCCGAGGGTGTACTTCGATCACTGATGAACATGGGGCCGATGGACGCGATGGATCTTTCCTCGTGGGATGCGACAAACTGAGCGATTTCAACTTGACTACCTACTTGAGGTTACGGAGTAAGGAGTCCACGACTGACAAACCATCCTGGATAATTTCATGTTTCAATTCCGGCAGCTGATTGTGGATGGAGTCGAACAGAATTCGACGGTTTTGGGTGTGTATAACACGGAACTAACTAACTGACCGCACTGGCAGAGGCAGGCAGACAGTTGACAGCGTTGATCTTTATCAAGTATAGGACTTATGAATAAACCACACGACTCCCACGAACATGGCTATGGTTAAACATTTGAATGATATTCTCTTAGCGTTTTCCACATCGTGAATAATTCCATACTCCCCTCACCTTGGCCAAGTAAGTTAAATTGCTTGTCAAGAAGACGGTTATCTGACCGAAGTTGACTGCCTGACGGTCGGTGGTGGTGGTGGTGGTGGTACAATTGCTGGTCAAAGCACTCCGATGGAAGGCAGACCCGTGCACCAGTTGCCGCCTTGCCGCACCCTGGCCGCAAGTTGCTGAGGTAAAACCACTGGCACCCAACGTCGACCAGCACTCGTCATCCACTTTTCCCCAACCACTGCAGCGTCGACGAAAGCACGACGCATTAAAGCAGCAACACACCGCATCTTTTTGACACCCACCCGTGTGCGGCAAATGCCAGCAGGTCCGTCCTCGCCGTTTGAAGTCTCTCCAGCCAGCCGGGGCGAGACCATCCCTCCGCACAGTCTCCACCCTGCCCAGCAGCATCAGCCTCAACAGCAGCAGCAGCAGCCACCGCCGCCTCCGCCTTTTGCTGTCGGTGCCGATGCCGGTGCCGTAACCCACTTCCGTCCCGGCTCCGGCCCCCCTAACACCGGGTCTTCCATCGACATGTCTGAGATGGAGGCCCACCAATCCGTGTTTCATGCCGAGCTCTCACGGGATCAGGATTTACATATGCCCTCTGCCGCAGACGGGCAAACCGAGCAACAGCAGCAGCAACATGCTGTAGTAGTACCTGGTGGTGGTGTTGGTGGTTTTGGGCCAACGGGCCCGTCAACGTCAGACCTTTCGCATCGGCCGGTTCATGGCCCCGCGATGGAGCCGCCGCCAGTTCAGCATAGCCAGTTTGGCATTTTGGCGCCGGGCCTTGCGATGCCGGAAGCCATCACGATTGAGATGGGCGAGTCTCTCGTCGGGCCCGCCGGGTTCATTCCCATCGACGGTACTACCACCCCCGGATGGAGGCCGCACGGCAGTCTTTTAAGCGCGAAATGGGTTCTCGACCCCCCGAACCTCGAGGAGTGGCGGCAGAAGCTGTTTGATGCAGATGGCCTCATCATTCTCACTCATGAGCAGTCTGTTCACTCCCCTTCTTCAGCAGCTGTAGCAGCAGCGTCCAATAAAACTCAGAGGTATATTGTTCTAACCATGTCAAAAGGTTCGAGACCTACTTCCCACACGTAGACAACGTCTACTCCCACCGTTCAACCCAGAATTACAAGAAGAAACCCTTCATCTCCCACTACTGGGACTGCCGCCTCAAGGGCCGCCCTCCCGGAACAAAAAAATCCGACGACCCGACCAAGAAGCGCCGCAACCGCGTCTCGCGCAAACTCAACCTGTGCGACGTCAAGATCAAAATCACAGAGTATTTTCCCGGCGCCACCCTCCACGACGTCGACGACGGCACCTACGTGCCCCTGAACGGCGGGCAGGCGCTCAACGGGGCGCATACAGTGCTCGCACCGCCTGGGGAGAGGGAGCTGAGGGTCGCGCCCGCGACGCCGAACAACCTGCCCGCGCCGGGGCAGAAGTTTTGGACGATCCAGCGGGTGAACGGGCACATTAGCGTCAGCGGCATCCCGGGGCCGCATCAGCATACCCTCGCCAAGAGCGACGAGGTGAAGAAGAATAGTATTCAGCGATATCTTGCCAAGCATAAGACTGACGCCGCCAAGGTGAGGGCTATATCATGCTGTTAGTGATTTGACTCCCAAGACGCTGACACCATATGACCGAACAGAACGATGGACCTCGAAAGGCAACGGGCCGGGCTCACTGGACCATCAAGAAGCACGAGAAAGAGAGCGATTTGAAGCTGTATTCAGCATGTTACTGGTTCGTCATTTCTCTCGCAGAACTCTTATCCTCCAAATGTTTATCTAAAACTCTTGTCTAGTCCCTTTTCTCAAAGCGTCTGGATCGCTCTTGAAGCAAAGGGGCTGGCTTACCAGTACTGCGAAGAAGACCCGTACAAGGTGGCGGCCTCGCAACCGCTGCTGGAAGCAAACCCCAGGGGAACCGTTCCCGCGATACGGCAAGGCGACTGGGCTTGTGCCGACAGCGGCGTGATATTGGAATATGTCAGTCTTGAAACTCCTCCTCAAAAATGCATGCCCATTGCGAGGAAACATTCCTCTTTTGCTGATTATTTGCGATGTTGTCTGAATACAGCTCGAAGACATGGACAAGACCATCCCACTCTTCCCATCAGACGTAAAACTCCGCGCAAATTGTCGACAATGGATAACCCACGTTCGTCCATGGCCCCGCCCCCCTCTTCCTCTCTTCAATCCAATAGTCAAGATCATACTAACCCACACGATGATAGATAAACACCCGCCTCGCCCCAGCATTCTACCGCCTCCTCCGCAGCCCAGACCCAACCTTACGACCACAGTACATTGAGCGCCTCCAAAACGCAATCAAAGACCTCGTCCTCGCCGCAGACGAACAGGGGCCCTTCTTCCTCGGAAACACAATGTCCCTCGTCGACGTCCACTTTGCGCCCTTTGCCGTCCGCCTCTCGCGCGTCCTGCAGCCGCTGTGCGGGTGGCCTGCGCCCGCGCCTGGGTTGCGGTGGGCTAAATGGCTCGATGCGCTGGAGAATAACGCGCATGTTCAGGCTACGACGAGCGGGAAGGCGGTGTATGCGGAGACTGTGGAATTCTTGCAGGTGGCTCTTGATCCGGATGGGCAGCTGAATATTTGATGTCTGCGGGAAGCGGTCTATCTCTTTGGTGGAAGCACAGCGGCGTAAATATAGCTGTCGGGAGGGTGAGGACAGCGATTAAATGGATCACAATGACTATCTATCTATGTTGGCCAGAAATAGGGGGTCAAGGCCCTCAGTGCCCTCGAATCAAATTATTCACCTTATCCTACGATGTGGCCATTGTCCAAATACATTCAAAGCCATTTCTTCATGGGTTCGTCGCCTGCGAAGGCGACGGCGACGCCCTCCTCCTCTTCAAATCATGCCACTTCTCCTTGACGGTAATCACCTCACCCAGCTGCCTCGCCCTCTCCCGCCCTTCCCCCAGCTCCTCGAGCGTCTTCTGCTCCAGCACGCGCCGCCCAGAGTCCTCGTCAATGACCCACCGCTGCGAGTCGGGCAGGTAGGCCCAGGAGAAGACGGCGCCGACGGCGACAAAGGAGCCAAAGAGCAAAAAGATGAGCCCCTGCCGGTTGACGGCGGTGTAGGACGAGTTGATGCCGTACACGACAAGGAGGGCCACGATGCTGCCCAGCTTCCCGGCGGCGGCGGAGATGCCGTGGCAGGTGCAGCGGTAGCAGGTTGGGAAGATTTCGGCTGGGATGATGAATGTTAGGGTGTTTGCCCCTGGAGGTGATGATTGTTAGCTGCTGTTGGAGCAATGCGGGCGTACGGGAAAAGACACGCACCAAAGTTGAACATGAAGTGGCATAGTGCCACAAACACGACTGTCGCTGGCGCCCCGGGGGTTCTGTTGACGCCGTAGTATACACAGCCCGTAATGACGAATAGTATAGCAAGAACGAAGAAAGAGACTGTGAGCCACAGCCTTCTCGGGATTCTGTTGGCAGCGACGACGAAACAGGCGCTGCCAGCGATCGAGGCGATGGATACGGTCAACAAATACTGTTTAGCCTGTTCCAGAAGCACGTCGTAGATTGTGTTGCAGGGTAGAGTTGCGTCCGTCTGCCAGACCGGGAGGCCAGTCTGGCTCCAGAGTCTTGCAGTTGCGTTGCCGTCGGGAAACTTGGAGTTCCAGCACGGAAGCCGGCCATCGATGGGCGTCGGTCCCGTGGTCGCCCACATGTCTGAAAGTGTCCCTCGGTTATCTAAACTGAGACCGTAGAAGCTGACATCGAGGAAGAACCATGTTGCAGCGGTTCCTATATTACGCTCAGTTTCCATACGTGCGCGAGAGGTCACCAGTCTTATGTCGCAAGACCTAGAACAAGGCCTCGCAGTTCAAGCCATGCAACACTGTGCGAACGACTCACCCAGAAGATAGTACCAATTGCCATCTTCGATAAAGTACTTATAAAGGTCTTGCTTGGAGAATTGTATGGGCATAGGTTGTTGTGAGTTGGTGGCTTGCATCCCATCTTGGGGGGTCATGGGGTAGCCCGCTGTCGCGCCAGCAGGAGCGCCATAGACTCTCTGCGTGTTCCTCAATGCTATACCGGGCTTGTTTCTGACTTCGAGGCTGTATAATCCACAATCGAACAAGAAGAACCGGAAAATGATAGCTAGAAGAGCGGGGACGGCGCCGGAGCCGATGACGATGCGCCAAATGCCATCCACGGCGCGGCGGCATTCTCTATCGTATTTTGTATCGAGGCCACATTGCATGGCTTGTAGGCCCTCGCTCTTATCACGACCGACAAGAACCCAGAGGCCGACAAGTTGGGCAAGAGCTTGGCCTATGGGCTGCATCATGAATGTCTACCACTATTGGTTAGTGGTGAGATTCTGAGATGTAGAAGTTGCTTGCTGACTGACAGAAGAGATCATAGTTCCCCGGGACTGCGTGCTCGACCATTCTGAGGTTATGACTGCGCTAAGGGGATACTCGGCACCAATGCCTTCAAATTTGTTATCATGTTAAATGTGGTTCTTTGAGCTGGTGGATAACGAAATGATTTCTCAACGTGGTCACTAACCGATACCCATTACGAAACGCCACTACGAGGATCTCAGATGTCAGTTGGAACAGCTCTCAAGGCGGGGATAAGAGGAGTAGAACTAGCGACAGTGACTCACCCAGATGAACAGAGCCAAGAAGCTCATGTCGTCGAAGCCGTAGCTGCTCGTGGCAACACCAATTGTCGACACAATGACGAGTACGAGCTCAATACCATAGAGACGTGTTCGTCCGTAGAAATCGGCCAAAAACCCAAAGAGCAGTTGGCCAATGACGGAGCCCAGAAGAGTAAAGAAGTTGATGAGCAACCCTTGCCATCTTTCGCCGGGTGATGGCCAGTATACGAACGCTATGGAGGCAAGGATAACATTTGTGGAAAAGAGGTTGTAGCTATGGAATGAAGTCAGTCTGCTGGCCATGGAATATTACATTTAGAGTGAGAGCATTGAGAGACTGGCTCACGAATCTGTTAGAAAGCCCGATGCGGCCACGCCCCAAATACGCAAGTTCCATGAGTTGAGGTCGAGCTCATAACGCAACTGACTGCGGTCCTAGAAGAATGATGAGCTAACGTCTGATGTAAGATGCGATGAAGGATCGGAACAGCTGTCAAACTGCGAAATGAGGCCAAGTGGCAACGGCGGTGCACAGAAGAGAGCGGTGACACCGGACAGGAAACCAAAGACGGGACGAGGTCGGAATAAGTAGACGTACCTGAATATCGCGGGCAGACAAGGCGGAACTATCACTGCCCAAATAGCCCCGATTTCTTCTCGCCAGAGGATCGGGCAAAGCCGACATGGCTGCCGCTCGACTTCCTCAGACTGATTCACTATTACGATCGGTGGATGGAAGTTGGGAGACGCGGTTTCTTCGAGTGAGACTGGTAATACGGGGCTGTAGGCAGGGGATGTAGCCCACATACACAGCAGACCCTTGAATTGAGAAGTGCTTCGCTATCAAAGTATGAGGCGAGACACGCTCACACAACAGCGCGTGTTATGCTTGGATGCAGGAGAGGTCGGATAGTCGGATTGAAGAGGTGGAAGAATGGGTCGCAGTAAGCGGGACCCATTTACAAGCAAGGGTACCTTGGCCGTACGTGTGGTCAACAAAGGGCCATTGAGTTGGTTGAGCTTGAAGAGAGTAATTGTGTCGAGGAGAGGTCATAAGTGAGGATACGGATTCAACGAAAGCGAGCCTGAAGGAACACCGGGATCAACTCAGTCCCGAGGTGATGAAATGATGAAAGAGTGAAGCCGAGTAAGGATCGTTGAGCAAGAAGGTAAGGTTGACGGGACAAGACGCTAACCGCAGAGCAGGCTGGCTGATGGCTGCCAAGCGCCGAAAAGACTAAGCAAGTAAGGGACCTAAGGTAGAAAACCGCAGGCTTGGATTCTGATTTTGGGCGAGGAAAGTAAAAGGTTGCGGCAAATCTTGTCAAAATGCCCTGGTCTCAATTAAGGTAAGGTAGGTAAGCAACTTCCATTGACAATGACCCCCACCTACTAGCAACCAACGAATGTGACCGTATTCGTCCGGAGGTTGTCAATAGTCAATAGTTGATCTCTCAACCGAGCCCAATGCAATATGGCGAACCAGGACTTGCCATATCCTCGGGTTAAGGTAGTGGAACGTCGATAGTCAATTATGCTCAGGGTTCAATTTCAAGGCAAGCTACCTCAAGCTAACATGAGACAGGGAGAATGTCGGATCCTACCTTAGAGCTACCTATGCACGCACCACTGGCATTGCTTCGCTGAGCATCGTGATCTCAAAACTTGAATTGACAGTCGGACACTAAGGTCTCGGGCTCCTGTAAATATGCCCATCGACTGCAAAGGCTTGATCCGTCACGCCCGTAAATGGAGCCATGGTGTAGAGCAGGTGCGCAGGCTACTGGTAACTAAAATCGTGGCAGCAGGAACAGACTGGACTAGAATAGTTCAGTAACAGGGACATGAGCCATGCAGGTGGGCACTGAGCCGAGGGCACGATGGGAAGTCCCAGTACCAGTCACTCGAGCATGCTGTCGCTTCTGGGGCTGTCATTGGCTGACCCAACCTGACGGCGGCGGGCACCTCGAACTGGAATTGGTAACTCCAACCCCACTCAATCCATCTCGTGGTATCCGTATCCGTAACTTGTCGAGGACCAAGGTATCTAGGTACTCCATACAGATACCGAAGGTAGGGTTCCTTCCCGTTGTATAACGTCGGATGGCACTTACCTACCTTGAGTGTGCTTCATCGTAAAGGCTAGACTGAAGTATTCTGTATGTTGCACTGGAATTGACTCCCTACCTTACCTTACCTTAATGTGAGTAGGTAGGTACCTTATCTTGGGCAGATGGGAAAAGAAGAGAATTACGGATGGAACCATCACAATTGGTTGAGGCAAGCGAGACAGTTTACCGGCAGACCGTTAAATTTAGTCCCCGGTACGGCGGTACCCGACCAATTCTTCGGATCCACGTCCGCACCCGGGGGTTTGGGGTATTTGCCCACCACTATCCAGTCGCTGCATCAATTATCTCCTACTACTAACCTTACCTTACCTCGCAGCACTCTTCCGAGCATCCTTCCGCCCTGCCCGCCTGCTCTTCAACTAAAGTCCATCCGCCAACAGACACCCCTCTTCTGCCATCTGACTCCGCACCCGGCCCTTCACCACCACCATATTACGACCCCGCTCCGTCCGTCAAATCGTCCTCCATCCTCGCTTGACTTTCCGATGCCGCGTCTTTGCCTGCCTCAACCATATCAACTACATTAGTCAACTCCTCTTCAAAATCAAGCCTTGCTCTAACTCGGCGCTGTGCTAGGTAGTCTTGTGCCAGGTCACAACCTCACCGGCACCGGCCCCGGCACTGGCATTGGCACCTCCTTTGCTGACGGCTTGGCTGTTTGGATTCTCTAACGGTACCCAACTTGACCTTACTTTAGGCGCCACTATCCGTGGTACTACTTCAGAAATACCAAGCTTGCGCCCTGCCGTCCGTCACTTGCCTCGGCGCCCTCGTTCTTCCTCCGCCTGCGAGAAATCCATCCGTCTTGTCGTCCTTTCCCAACATTGACGCCAGGCGCAACGCCTGCCGCCCCATGCAAAGCTCCAGTACCATCGCTACCTCGAGCAGTTGAAAGGCACCCGTATACCTTCTTGCCGTCGCATCGTCCAGTCGTTTGAATGCATCCGTCCCGAGATCTAATCGCGCCTACCATACCGACGACCACACGATTTCGAACCACCAGACGGATCGGCCACATACCCAAATCTCCACCACCATGCCATGATTGCCATCTCAACTCCCCGCAGGCTTTTATTGATTTGTAGACAAGGCTCCGAGACAAGAAGTAGGCCAGAGCCATCCAAGCATGGCCGCCTCGTCTTCCTCCGGCTCGTCTTTTACGTCTTCCTCCCTCGGTCGGCCCCCTTCCTACGGCCAGCCATACGCGAGCCCCATTGACTCGACCTGGACACCAACTTCAGGTGCCTCAACCATATCGGCTCTCACCTCCGAGGCATCAGCACCGCACGCCTCTCTGCATCCTCTGGACCTTGGTCCACCTGGCTACCAAGCAACAATGTACCATTCTTCCACTACTCCATTCGAAGCACCTATTTCTAAATTGCTATAAACACACGTTATGAAAGTAGTCTTTACCCCTTTCTGACCCTCGTTGATCTCCAGAACCCTCTTTGAGAACACTCCCAACGAAAGCACCGTTTATCTGGGTCCTTGGGAGGTTGTTGGCTCCGAGCAGCGCCGTGTACTATGGCAGTGCAGCTACCAGAGCGAGCTTCTTGAGCACTTTCGTACCTCATCACCCTTCTTCACCATCCGAGCTGGGGACTTCATTCTGACCATAGTCTAGTTCCGTCCGACGTGCCCGCCGATATCTTTCCTCATACTTTACACGCCCGTCATCGTCCGTACACGGATCCTTGCGAACTCGAGCTTTTTGTCAGCTTTCGCGAGCCACACAGAGTCAGATACACTACCGGCGAAGGTGTGGTAGTTCATGACCATCTTACCGAGGTCAAGTACGAGTTCACCACCGTGGAGAGCTCCATACGCTTCCAGGGAGACGTTCGTCGGAAAGACTTGGTTGATTACTATGATGTTGATGTCGTTTGGTCCGACCTGCACGGAAGAACGGATGGCTTTGGGAATATCAGGGGTATGGGACTGGTACAGAGGCTGAAGCTTTGGAGGGACCGATATTCGACCTACCATTCGTTGACCGTTCTTGCGAATCGTGCGAGTGGCCGTCAATATCGAGAATACGAAATCCACAATTTTGAGGGCGAACTGCGTAACCGCGACGATCGACACCGCCAAGTCCGCTTGACAGTTCGCGGAAGTCGACGCAGCAGCGCCCCAGACAACAGCAGTTCCCGCTCGCGCTTCAACCTGGCACAACGAATGCGTCCTCGCGTACGTTCTGGATCACAAGGGGGCCCATCGACTCCTGAAGGAGCAACGTCGGGCACATTGAACATTCGCTATATCGGCGTCCAGTTCAGTAAGCGCGAAGGTATGGCACATCATTCCTTGACAGACCATGAGCGTCTTTTTACCAAGTCATCATGCCCTTGTTACCTCGCCTTATAATGTGGAAAGGACATTTGACTTACATGGGACAGATTACCTTCGATTCTTAGAAAGCTGGGTCGTAGCGCACAGCTCTGACAGCGAGTTTCACGGAATACCGTTTCCTGCCCACCACGTTGAGCTGCCATCGCCGGAAATGCTTCCGGGGGAGATGTCCGAACTGCCGTCCCCTGATATCTCTAGAGGCTTGGAGCCAGTGATGGAGCCCCCAGATTCGTATGAGTCTGACTCGGCCGCTTGAACAGCTCCCCGAACGACGACAAACCTCAACCAGCATCCATTTCAGGGCACGGAATATCGGCCAGATAAGAGGAGTAGGCTGCCATCAACTGACTCGTCTCTCGGGGTTCGACCTGGATTGTTTTGCAACTTCAAGGAACGGATGGCGCCTACGTGGTGCAACGCTGCACAGATCTTGGTGGAATGAATACCGATCAACGTTCAGCTCGCGGAACATCGACATCACAACGGAGTGCGCGATGGTGGGTTATGGTTCCACGTAGTTGGCTTGGTGTATGGCATCAGGCAACTCCAAAAAGTGGTGTGTTATTTGCATGGCTAGAAGCCGCCGCTTTGGGTTTCCGGGTCCGGGCGTTGACAGGTTTGACAGGCCCCACACATCATCCACTTCTGCACTATCTGGTGGAGTGACAAGGCACGGCGCGGGGTCCCGTAGCTGCCAGCTCGCAGCAACCCCCCGCCCCCAGAGGTCTAATTGCACCATGGAACGTCACCACACCCGGCCAAGGCGGACATTCTCAGCGAGAGAAACCTCAGATCATGGTGCCCAGGGCAACACCACCCACTCCGGCTCTTGACCATTCCACCGCCGACATCTGCTGATGGTGCTGATCTTAAAAGCTTGCATTCTCGCCCATCTCAGCTTGTCACATCTTGACTTGTTTCGTCCAACAGCGTCGTAATTTCAACACATTGATTCTTAGTCATTTGATACAAGACACCACCACCAAGTAGTCGATTCAATCTCAACGGCCGAATCAAGAGACCCAATCGTGGGTTGTATATCACATCGACGTACAACTTCTAGCTGCCGAATCGTTCGGTCCAAGAAGGCATTCGAGACGAACTCTCCGTCCTTACAGCAGACCACTATTGCACATTGAGACCCTACTCACGATGAAGGTTATCCTTGCTATCAACGCGGGGTCGAGCTCTGTCAAAATCTCGGTCTACTCGGCCGAGACCAAGCAACCACCCCACCAGATTGCAGAGACATCCATCAGTGGTCTGACGGCTCCACCAGCTCAAGTCTCTTACACCCGCGGCGGTGTTGAAGTCAAGAAGAATGAGGATCTGGAGGAGAAAGTGTCTACACAAGATGATGCTTTCAAGGTGCTTCTAAAGACCCTGATTGATGACGCAGAACTGCCCGAGATCAAGCAAAAGGCCGACATTGCCTTGACATGTCACCGCATCGTGCATGGAGGCGACTATCCGTGCTCCCAAGTCATCACCCAGGACACATATCACCACCTAGAGGAGCTCAGCGATCTTGCCCCGCTGCATAACGGCCCGGCCCTTGATATCGTAAACTCGTGCGTGGAGCAGCTGCCCGACGCTGTCAACGTTGCATGCTTTGACACACAGTTCCACTCTACCATCCCCGAGCACGTCCGCACATACCCCATCAACCAAGAAATTGCCAAAAAGAACCACCTCAGAAAGTTCGGATTCCATGGCGTCAGCTATTCCTTCATCACTCGGTCCGTCGCCGAGTTCCTCGGCAAAGAGACCAAAGACTTGAACATCATCGCTCTTCATCTGGGAAGTGGTGCAAGCGCTTGCGCCATCCGAAACGGCCAGAGTTGGGATACAAGCATGGGATTGACGCCCGTTGCCGGCTTGCCCGGAGCCACAAGAAGCGGGAATGTAGATCCGAGGTAAATTACAGACAACACCCGTTGCGCGTGTTTAGCAACTGGCTAACTTGTATGCGCACAGTCTCGTCTTCCACTACGCGAGTGACGTTGGAAAGCTCTCCCCTAATTCAACGTCAAAGTTGCATCTTACCGAGGCTGAAGAGATTCTTAACAAACAAAGCGGATGGAAGGCCCTGACAGGAACGACCAACTTCGGTGTCATTGCTTCTTCGGGCGAGCCTACGCACAGACTCGCATTCGACATTTTCGTTGACAGAATATGCGCTTTCATCGGCTCCTACTTTGTCACCCTCCACGGCGATGTGGATGCATTGGTCTTTGCCGGTGGCATCGGTGAGAAGAGCGATAGGCTACGCAAACGCGTCGTAGAACAGTGCACCTGCCTCGGCTTCACCATCGACGACGACCTTAACAGCAAAAAAATTGTCGATACGGTACAGGAAGTCGGTAAGAACAGGGCCAAGTGCCGTACGCTGGTCTGCCAAACAGATGAGCAGTATGAGATGGCAAGACTCTGCACCGAGAAGGAGGAACTCTGGAAGCAGCAGTAGTCTTCAGCTCGTGTCAAGGGGCAACCGTAGGTTTCTCAACAATCGCGATGAGTTGTCGATGTTGCGCAGGTCTGCTCCGATGATGAAAGCCACTGGCGTTATGGGGCTGGCGCAACAGTCCTGGGTTGAGACAGACGGATAGAGGTACCAATGCCGGAGGCGGTGGTCCAAAAGCTACAATATAGACTTAATAGAGAAAGACGAAAACGTCCATCGAATTGAGCCGCCCTCGAGGCCATTTGAACAGCCAGAGCCAAAACACGCCCATGTGCCCATACGCCCTAGCCTTATTGTACGCCCTCCGCAGACCTCGTGGGAAAGAAACCGTTTGCGCTGCGATCTAGCGTATACCGACCAACGAGCGTGGGACGTTCCAACTTACATTCCAGCGGCGAGCGGGTTCGATGTCTGCGTCGTTTCGTCGACAGACGCCCAAAAAAAGAATGTCCCAGGCAACAGGTTTGACCGATCCGGGTTTGCTCATTCACACGCCTCGTTCCATTCCAACGGGTGAGGCAGGGTTTGGATGGGCACTTATCTCCGGGGGTGTGTAAAAAATAGAAAGACCAAAAGAAAGAAGGAGGAGAAGGAGGAAAATGAAAAGAGACATTATTCGTAGGCATTGGGCGCCATGTTCGGGCCGAGGAGGTAAGGTAGAGTTAGTTGCTGGCGTGGTTCTGGTTCTGTCCATGTTTCAAGGAACCAAAATCGCGAGAAACAAGAAAAGACTGAAAGAAAACACTAGATCGAGATCTTCAATTTGCTGCTGCTGCTGTTGCTGCTGCTGGATCCGACGGGATGGGCAATGGCATGGCATGGCACATGCAATGCTGGAGAATTTCTCCCCAACCACCACCCCACCCCTTCTCATATACCACACATCCCTGTATCCCCCATTCTCTCTCTCCCTACTCTCCTTGGCTATGCCGGACTTGGGAGAGAGAACGAGAGAAATGGGAGACAAAACTTCTCTGGAAGTTGTCTTCAACCGTCTGATCGGGATCACCAAGGCCGATCGGCATGGGCAGCATGGTGCCATGGGGAATTGGCTGGGCCGCGCGGATTTTTTCTTGTCTTGCAATGGCGCGGGCTCAAACAGCTACAGGCTCTCGGTGGAATGCATCGTAGGTTTTTGGTTAGGTATCTGGGGGGTTTTTTTTTTCCGTTTACTAGCTGCGTGGCACAGAGACATTTTGGTGAGACAAGACATCGCTCTGGGAACTGTGTTCATGGTGTACTGATTAACATCTCGATGGTTGATGGTGCCAGCCGCGTGGGCGACCTTACACATGAGCAAGAAGTGGAAGCGTAAGACAGAGGAAAGCAATCGAGTATGTTTGTTCAACGTGTGTTTGTATTTTGGCCTTACCGCTGGCTGTGAACCAAGACGACAGGCAATGGAAGTGATATAGACATTGGGATAAACTCCCAATTTCTCATCCACTCTTGTAAGTGGTCTATGAGAAGGATTGTCCACCACCCCCCGGGCGCTCTGGTATCTGGAATCCCATGCGCCCCCCGTCCATGATAAATCACTCTCCTTCATTTCCAGTAATCGTCATCCCAGTTTTTCTTCCAAAAAGAGAGCCTATCTGGGAAACCTCGTGTATATGTATCCCATTCCGACCAGAAATAGCCTTTTTCCTCATCTTAAACAAACAATCGCAGTGATGCGTCTGCCCCTCGGTACTGATTGAATCGAGGATTCGGGTATGTGTACGAAACCGTGGAGAAACCAACGCCGTGTAGAGAGAAATCCGCCCCTGGGTTGTAGACCTTCGCGGTAAAAAAAAAAGAAAAAAAGTGATAAATAACGCCGCCATTTTTGTTGCCTTGTTTCCTTTCCGTGTATGTGCAGGCACGCCATTCATATGCTTTGCGACCCTCTATTGCCCCAATACATAGAGAAAAATCAAAGAAAAACGAAGGAAACGTGGGAGGTTAGAGGCTACCCGATGTGAAAGGTTGATAACCCATCGCAGCCGGGAGCCCCCCGAGAAGTTCTCCGCATCGTTGACCACTACGTAGCCGCCGAAAGAAAGAATGATGGGGTATTATGTAGGACACGCTGCAAGAGTCCGCCGGGTATAAGTGTTGAAACTGCCCAAGAGGGAGAGGAGAAAAGACATGCAATCATTCTGATCCCAACAAAGCTCTACGCGCCTTCTTGGCAAGCAACAGCCATAGCCAGCGCATCCAGGCCGCTGCTGGGTGTTCTCGCGGCACTGGGACGGCTCACAAGAGGCATTTGCAGGCCGCGCAAATCCCACGCACCACTTGCAGCGGGAGATGGGAGGGGAGCTTGGCCAGGAGGGTATCCGTAAGGGGACTCACCCTCCCACATAGGCTGGTCGCGGGAAGCGCGGTTGCTGGCCGCGGCGGCCCTCACGGATGATGAGGAGGACCTGCGGCCGGAAGCTGACAGACCGCCCATTGAGGGGCGTGAAGCCTTCGCCGATGTGGAGGAGCGAGACTTGTCCTTGTAGTGAGTCTCAAGGTGCTGCTTCATGTTGTCTGCTCTGGTGAACTTCTTTTGGCAGCCGTCGAAAGTGCATTGCACGGCCTTCTCGGCAGTGTGGATCTTAGAGTGACGAGAAGCATGGCCTGAAGTGGTGAAGGTCTTCTCGCAGCCGTGGCTGTCGCGATAGCGGCAAGGGTACCTCTTGCCAGGACGTTCAGGCAAGGGTGATGTTGCTGAGCTGTCCTCCTCATACGAGGCTGCGCGGCTATGGTTCGCATACGCAGGGCGTTTTGCGGGCATATCGTAGTCGTCATACATGGGTTGACCAGAGAATGCACCAACTCTGGAAGGATCATACGAGGTAGGAGTCATGGGCGAAAGAGGATCGTTGCTCGCGTTTGAGTCGTAAGAGTCGGAGCGGAGGAGCTCCGGGGTGTGAGGCGAGGAAGAATTGCTTCGCGGTGCCGGGTGGAAGGGTTGTGAGATGACCTGGTTAACTGTGCGGTACTCCATTCTTTGGTGGGTGGATTGGGCGGTAGGCTCGTCGTTCAGGAGCGAGACCTGACGACCGGTGGCATCGCGGGCATGCATTTTTGACGAGTTGAGCATGTATCCGTGTTGAGAAGCTTGTGCTTGAGTCGAGTTGGAGTGATTCCTGGGTGGATTGGCTTGGTCGAGAAGATAAAAAGTGTGTCAAGTCCTTGTTGTATATGGCGACGAGGTCCTACTGTTTCCCACTAGTAATTAATGTGAAGAGGTTGTTGACGATGTGGTTGTACCGGAGATTGTCAATGTATATGGTGTAGTATTTGGAAAGGATCGGAAAAGTCGATGTGAGGCTGGGCGATTGGTGAAGGGAGAGTAAGAGGTAGTGGTGTAGCTAAACAAGCCGCAGGAGGGTGAGGCGCAAGTGAAGTATTATACCAGCCAGGAGAGAGAGAGGCGGATCGAGGTACTGTGGTAGAGAGGAGGTAGAAAGCTCGGGAGGTCAGCGGGCAGAGGGGGGTGGGCCGAAGCAAAGTATCTCAACGAGGGGACCTGGGCCGGTCGGCATGGATGGAGGGAAAGGGAAGGAGTGTGCACAAAGCTGAATGGGGTGGAGGAGTGTATGGGAGTGTTTGGAGAGGGGGAAAGAATTGGGTATAAGCAGGAGGAGCATGGGGCATGGGAAAGAGAATTGCGCACCTTTGGCACCTTGTGGTCGCTGGCCGGGATGCCACAAAAGGTACGTGGGTTGAGGTACCGGACCTTGTGCACACCTCCCATCACTCACACTGAGGTACCTTGCGCAGTGCTCCGTACCTTGAGTAGTACCTTATTAGGGTCTTGGGTGAGCTGTCCAAGGTTTGCATCAATGTGCCTGGAGACTGGAGTGTCGGTACGTATCCTGTCCCCAGCGACAGCACGCAGTGGCGTACTTTCAGTACGTACCTGACAGCCTACTCGATTTGGGCAGGGGTCGAGAATAAGTGTAAAAGTACGTACCTGAGCAGGGAAAGGCCGGAGCCACAGCGTGAAAGGTCCGGTCGTGGCCACCGTGTGCGACACCTCCTTCAGACCACCCCCTCCTTGGCAGCCTCCCCAGAGTGAGAAGCCCCCTCATCCAGGACCACATTTCCTTCAGATACCTCTCACTCTCACCTCACTCTCACGACACTGTGGGTAACTCCACGTTATGAGCACCCCTTGCTCAGCGGTTCCAGCTCCAATTCTTTCTGCAGGGTAGCACCCCGAGTCTTCGCGGCGGGCGGCTACGCACCCCGGGGTGGGGGAGGTGTGGACTCTCCTCCCCCTCTCTCACGCTTTTTTTTTTTTCGCTCTCACACTCTGGGGCCTCTTCCGGGGCTTATTTCTGTCTCTCAAAAACAGACGCGGAAGAGGGAGAGGAGGGACCCTACGCGCACGATTCTAATATCTAAACTCTCAACTTCCAGTACCTTGTCGGGGCTATCGTGATAACAGCATTCTTGGGGGTACATGCCATTTTGGCATCATGGACGTCCGAACCGAACTACCTCACACTTCTCGGCTTCCTGAGTTGACCAAGAGTTTTTTGCTTCCATGACCGATGATTTACGAATGAGTGACATGGTCTGAGTGGGTGATGCGTAGCCAGACTTTCCGCCTTTACACATATTTTTCGCACTCGAGGCCCCCCTCCTCTCATTTGCTACGTACCGTACCCCCCTGGTCGCTTATTCCCCATTCTTATATCCATTCAATCACTTGAAGCAGTTTTTTTTTTTTTTTTTTTTTTTTTTTTTTCAACACCAGCCCCGATCCCAATCTATCGGTCTCTCCCCCCTCCTACCTCTCTAGCCGTACATGCGACGCAGACCGACAGCAGAAGATGGTTCCTGGGCCGGCCATATGCCTGCTGAGTGACCGCTTGTGCCTGGCTTGCTGGCTTTCCCTGGTCGTTCCATCCTGTTCTGGGCCCGTTGTGCTGTCGATTTCGATCCGGATTGCGCATGCCATTTGCCCTACCGTGCCAACTTCCTTGCTTTCGGGCCTCGCTTCGTGACAAGGGTCCAGGTCTTGCATTCAGTCATTTCCTCCTTTTGGCAACATCTCCACCTGTCTGAGCCGGCAAGAAACCCTATATCGTCTTTTAAACAACGATCGATCAACTTGCGAGCTGAGCTTGACCAGGCTCTCAGGAGCTGAAGTTCCGGCGCGACGAACGACCATCGGGGTATCGTGTGCTTCGCTTCCCGCCTGTGCTCTTCCTTCGAGACTGCAGACTGCACTGTCCAGACTGAGCCGTCTTGACATATTTGTTCACATGGCCATGGCACCAGCGTGAGTTGTCCAGGTGGTCGAGACGATTAACCGTCCGGTGGAGCTTCTCACAATGATTTGGAGATGACATACCCTTTTTCGGCGTACTTTTAGATATGCTCTCACACCATTTTCAGGGTCCATATTCAATGTTTGCTCTTTCGGCGACAACATGCATGTCACTCCAGCTGACCACTGCGTGAACATGAGTCGTTGTGTGCTCCCGAATCCGTACAGCACATGATTCCTCAGAACCAAATGGGGCCTTGTCGCAGAGGTATTTGAGGAAGATCGCGATCTCGAACGAAAAGTGGACGCACCTGACTCGGCCGTATCTCTCGGACCAGGGGGAGAGTAATAAAAAAAGAGAGGAATTTGAGACCCTGCACGAACCGAGGGTCCGCGAGTGTGACGTCAGTGGCCCGTTGAGGCTGCTAGATGATGCCTCATCTTCCAAGCCCCGACTAGAGCTTAAGTATCCGTACCCTTACTCCCTAAGGCGTGGGCCCGGGGCGGCGCCGAAGCAAGGCCCTCGATGGTTGAGGTCGTCCACAAACAGTAGACTGCACACTCGCAGCGGATCCGTGTTACGGAGAGACTCCTGTTTGACCCAGCAATGCGGGTAGGCTGGTTAGGGACGCAAGGACCTGCCCAAGGATTCAGAGAAGAAGGCTTGTCCGCGTTGCTCTTCTGGGGCCTCATTTGGGGGGTTTGCCCGTATGATCGTTCATGCGGGCTTGGTTATCGTTGGATATCCAGCTATGGCGGGTTATCTACATGCCTCTGTAAATGAAGAGCAACAGCTTGGGACGGCAATACTCCAAAACCTACCTGGGGGTGAGAGGGTACCTGACTTCGCGCGGCTTCAGAAGTGAGATGCTTCCCAACTTGGCTGGCGTGAGGTACGGGCAAGGGCAGAAAAAGAAGGTGCGGTTGACACACACCCCCTCCCCCCGTCCGACGCAGTCCCCAATGCCCCATGTACGCCCTGCAGGGCCCCCTCGGTGCGTCCTTTGGGGAAGGGAAAATTTCCTCCTTCCAATGTCGTCATAGCTATGTCAAGCTCATTGCGGTACTTGTAGACGCACAATCCGCCCCAAAGGTACGAGAAGAGCGACAGGGCAAAAGTGTACTTCCAGCTCTAGGCTGAAGCCCTTCGACCGGGCGTCAACTCCACGCGACACGCGAATTTTTGTTTCGCAACGCCGGTCCCCAGGTTGCGAGAGAAAAGTCGAGTCTCGTTTCAACAGAGACAGTTTGACCGTGATACTGTTACCGACAGAAACGCTTTGAAGTGTCCCAAAGTCAACTCAGTTGCTTCCCGAGCCTTCCGCAACTCGACTTCGTGACCGTGGATAGAAGTCTAAAGCCGTTTTATCAATGCTTTAAAGACCATCGTCTATGCGATTAATTCGGCGAGACAGAAACACCTACCATGGGCACTGTTGTGCATAGCAACGGCGGTCATCTGGGTGAGGCACGTAGCGCAAAATACCTCACCTCCGGACGAATCGCTGAATCTGAACCCAATCCAAATCTTAAGGCCGGCGTGCTCAAAAGGGAAACTGGACGGATTGTTGCGCTGGGGCTGTGGGCAAGGATGCTGTAACGGCTGCCGCATCTTTGGATAATTGAACCATCATCAAATCGCTGCCGGAGCGTCCTTCCAGAAGTCCCTTTGCAATCTCCAATATACATACGAGCCCGCCGAGCCATAGGCTAGTTGTCAGTTAGAGCTTGGAGTTTCGCAGACCAGCGGCCTGGTCCCATGTTGTGAGCAATAAGTCCGAGTCCAACCCCCCGGATGTGTGGCTCAACTGATGGTATCGTTAAAGAGCTCAACTGAGTTCCGGGGGTGCATTCCCGATAGACAAGCAGTCTTCGAATGTTGAAAATTTTATGCAGCACAAAGCAAGCTCTCATAATTCTCTACCAATGTGTAAAGAGACGAAAAGACTCAAGAGTTGACAAAAGTGGTTCGAGTGTTCCGGTACCTCAGGGACTGACATTTCGATTTTTTTTTTGGGGGGGGGGGGGGGGGGGGTTGTGCCAGAATCGGGACAGGCTATGGGGAAAAGAAGCCGGAAAAGAAAAGAAAGAAAGAGCGGGAGGGTCAGGGGCAGCCTATCAGCGAGGGCGAATGGAACGGCTGAGCCTCCCGATCAAGTGGGAAACGGGTTGTGATGTGGTGTCGAAGGGTCTTCTAGCTTGCTTACGTAGTATGCTTGCCCACTTGCCAAGCCGAGAAGGGCAATAATCGTCCACGATCGAGATCTCTCTCTGTGGCTCGTGACAACTTGAAAAGGAATACCGGAAGACTGCAGTCAGTCGGCAAACGTTCTGGAGGGTTGGGGTCGGCTTCTGATGGAGAACCAAGCTATGCAGTTTTTGGAGGTAAGCGGAACCCTGAAGTATCCCCGTTTGTCGACAATGATTGGCTCGCGCTCCTCACGGGTAGTGTACGGAGTACAGCTCTATCCCCACGGACGAGCAGGCGACTGCAAGTTGTTGCAATTGCTTGCCCAGCAAGGTTTGGGTAGACCGCTGGGGATTAACTGCTGGACAGGGATCAAATGAGGCGCCTTACCGTTTTGGTAGTGAATGATTCCCGCTCACCTGGTTGTTTTTGGCAGCACCGTCTTAATGCCGTCGAGGCTTCGAGGCACCCCTTAGGTTCTCCCATCGCCCGTCCTGCAGCGTTGCGCCGTCTGGAAAGCCCATAGCCAAGCACATGAGGTACGGATAGATGACGGTCTTCATGATCACCCGAGTGGCGGAAAGAAGACATATCACCAGATAACCTATGAAGATCTCAAGTCAGAGACTATTCAACCTTGCAAAGCTACTGGTATGCCTAGGTTTGTCTCCGCATGGCAGGGGAGCCGATCTTCTTTCGTGACTTGTTGAATCCGAGGCCAGTGGCATGGCATTCTTTCACAAATGCATGCTTTCGCAATCGTCCATCTCCGAATTTTGTTGCGAAGTCTCCTCGACTCTCCCGCGTTTCCATCGCCACCATCTGCTCGCTTAGCCGTGCTTGTTGATTATTGTTTGTGATGTCAGAAGACGCAACAGAGGGTCAATTTTTGTTTCAGTGACCCTCGACACAGTGCTCCGTGAACTGTTTTCTCGACTCTTCTCCTCTTTGCTGTGACGTGAAGGCACTGTCCCCGTGGGCCCCGGCCCAGGTCTGGTCGTTTTCGCGACTGCGTGATTGTGGTTCGCTGCAGACAGAGTAGCCCATGTTATCTGCAAGCCCTTGATTATCTGTAAGTCCGCGAGTAAGTGACCCTGCCGCAATGTAACAAGTGAGGGGTGGAACGATAGCTGCGATAATCGCCATCGGCTGGATTAAACGAGGTATTCCGATAGCCTGATACAGCAGGTGAGCGGCCAGCCTTTGAGTGATGCTTTAGATTTGGTGGTTCGTCAGAACGAGATTGTTGACAATGCCAAAAGCCCGACCGTCAATCAACCTTTGGCTGCCGTGTTTTCGGCAGGTTAGCATAGCAGCGGAGTTTTCTCCGGTCGAGATCTGTATGGCTGGAGTCTGGACAGTCGGCAGGCGAAACCATCGTAAGCGGTGTGGTACACGACCCAGGGACTGGGAATGGCGGCTTCCCATACTGCGTACAGTACAGATAGGTCCAGGTTGCAAGGTACCCACAGCCAGGTAGGTACCTGCCGTGCTGTAGCCATACCTACCTAGTGCATTGCCCTGAATGGCACCACCGGTACATGAACTCATCGAACGTGGTCCATACACACCTTCCGTTCAAAACTAAGGTGCCCGTAAGGTTGGGCAGACCTGGTGGCCAATACCGAAGGAAACAAGACTGCTTACCTAAGACGAGACGGGTAGGTGCACGGTTGCCAGATACGTGCCGCCCGGAGTTGCTTTTAGCTCAAGACCGGTGAGGCAGCTTCAAACCACGGCTACAAAGGTACTCCCAGTCGAACTTGTGTGCTTACCTCGTCCTGTGGGCATTGACAACAACGAGACAAGACAACTACAGAGACAAGTTGGGGGGTCGCGGAGGGGAAGCTCCAGAGCATCGAGGCTACGCGTGAACACACGACACAGGGCGAGCGTGGGCGAGGAAGGACGAGAGGGACAGGAGGACCCTGGGCAGATGAACTGGCCAGTCTCAGCGGTTCAGCAGAGTCTGCAACTGCAAGTGCAATGCCATGGCAATCGCGATATAACAAACAGATCGCGATTGCCATGGGAGGCGATGGGGTTTCGGGGACGTGTGGCCCCAAAAGGCGGCGGCGCTAATGCTTCGCCATTCCAAGGAACGAGTCGGCGGGTTGGGCAAAGCAAGTTTTTTTTGTCCCTCTCCTTTGTTGTGGCGTCACAGAGTTTGAAGGGTCCTACGGCTGATTGCTTTCACCAGTTAACCTCGAGATCTCGAGAATGGCAGTGAATCGGGGTTTAACAAGCGTCTGGGCCCTATTGTGCTCAAAACGGGCTGGCGCGGCCCCACCAAGGTTCCTTGCACCTGATTGATGTCGGGTTGCTAGTTGGTGTGGTGGGTTGTGTTGCTTGCTGGACCCCTCGACTCTGAACTGCCATTGTTAATCAATGGAACCCCTGCTCCCGACCGCCCGTCTTCGGGTCCTCTGGAAAGGTTTTTCGAACCCCTGGTAAGGTAGGGTGGGCAAGAGGTATCCGCACCTCACCGGGAAAGAAGGGGGTGACTGTAGGTGTCATCCTGCATCACCCCTCTTCCCTGCTTTGCGACATCCGGAATGGTGCCCCAGTATTCCTGCCCTTGAGGTTCCTTCCCCCATTTTAGCTCTGATCCTAATATTCGTAAGGTAGGTACGGATACTCCGTACTCTATCGTGTATCTGTATCGACGTTCCAATCCCTCTGTAAACCTATTATATGGTTTTTGTACACATAGATATGTAAGTTTTCAGTCAACCCTTTTCTTCTTCTTGTTCTTCTCCTCACATCCTTCTTCGTATGCCACGCTTCCCCATGTCCAGTCACTTCTCCAATACTCCACGTCCCTGTGGCGCAATCACCGGAGAGCGAACAAGGGTGCCACTTGTACAATCCCATGTGGTGGTGACTTGTCCCTCATCGATGGCTGAGGTAGGCATGGATGATGCATCTGGTATTTTCCGATCTCCAGGGTCCTAGCTGCACCGTCGGACAGCGCCGTTCAACTAATTCAGACACGGAACTCACACCAGTCCGTTTGCCGTCAAGTCAATCATGCGCCGTCGCCTTGCTGCCCTGCTTATTTGGCCGTGAGCGTCCCCTCGTTCCCTCTCCTCCATTTACCATTGCCCAGTCTCGTGCCAACGTATCCGTATATGTTCTGTTGTGAGAGGTCTTGTTAAAGCCGAAGAAGGTTCCATTCCTGCCTCTTTGTGCGCTTCAGTTCTATGACAGTTGTTCTAGTTTTGCTGCAAAGGTCCTTCCTCTTGAGTCTTACAATCGGACCAGGTGCGGATTATGATATTTTACGGTAATCAAGGTAAGGTACCGTTCGGACTGGATTCCGTCGCGTCCTGTGAAGGCGTTCCTGCTGCGCACTTAGATAAGCCATTGGGTGTCATGTAAGCAAAATCATGAGGTACCTCCTCCGCTAGTACGGATACGGATATTGCAGTCTGCAACCCTTTCTGCCTGGACGGATACTTCGCACATTGCGTTTTAAGGGTGCAAGTCCAACCCGACAGCCCCGCAAGCCTGCGCCCCGTTTTACTTTCCCGTCCAATTCCTTGGAGAACGTCTATGGCCGCTACCTTCGGCGTACGGTGTGCGGCGTGCGTGCACACTCGTAGGTTGACTCTCGAGTCTTGCACTCCTCTCCCCACCTCCATCCTCAGCTAGATCGACGAGCACGACCCCTAGGGTACCGAACCAAGGTCCTTCGCTGTTAGTCTTGACAGAGCCCAACCCAACTAATGCACCATTCAGACCCTGAAGATAACGTCGCACCAGCCGCAGAATATTCCGCCTGATCACAACTGATCACCGATCACCGATCCCGATTGACAGGCACACACGTTCCGGAGTGCCTGCTCCGGCACCGTATGTCTCTGCATTTGCAGCTTTAATGCATACGAATACACATTCTCAGCCCGATTATCCTACGAATACCTACACACAACAATGTGCGCTTGTTTGCTGCTGACAATCATCTCAAGAGCTGGAGCGTCGAGGCGTACACAGGGCAACGGTTCTTTCGACCCCGATTGAACGTGAGGAGCAAAAGGAAACAGCTGATATATCCCACCGCAAAGCATTGGCTCATTCACTCCTCGACCCAGTACTCCGTACCGTCGCCATTATCACCGCCCAATGCTGAAGATCAAAATATGGTTACTGAGCAGTTCTGAGGGTCCATGCTCCATACTCCATACTCCATACCCATCACTCTCGGCGGGTCTGTTGTCGTCCTTCAACCGCCAGAGTGACGTAGGTACGAATACATGGGTCTTTCACAGCACATCTGTTCCCCGAAGACGAAAACTCTCTTGCCGCCCCTCGCTCTCCCTCTCTTTCGCGCAGTTGCGACAGCTCCACTCGTGCCAGAAATACCACAGGGACATGGTAGACCGTAGCCTTCCAACGCACCTGGCGCAGCTACCTTACCCTGGTTTCAACCACGCCGTAGTGCCGGGCGGATACATCGGGTGCCCCTTGGCAAGGCCTAGACGAGTCCACAATCCTATTCCACTCCACCGGCAAACTGTGAAAGCGGCACCTCTCTCCACCGCGGCATGGAACTTCATTACCTAAGGTAAGGTAGCTCCATGCAATTATGTATCTAACCAGCTATCCGTGCCTTGTTGTGTGCGCCTTTGCCGACTGACAGACAACGAGGTAGACAGACTGACAGGAAAACCGTATCAGGCTTGCCCGGCGCGCTCATGCCTGCACCCTGACAGTTGACTTTCATTTGGGTTAAGCATATGCTGTTCTTCGTACGAATTACAACCCAAGCACAGCATAGGCGCTGAAGGAAACAGGTTCGTTGCTTCCTTACGCGCAACCCCTACGATTACGATTGTGCGGCGTGTCGGTGTAACGCGCATTGAGTATTGACTGATTGCAGGTACTATTGCCACGTTTGTACCACGCAACGAGTGTGTCGATTTTCTTTCCGCTGTCACTCTAATGGCCGAGTATGCTTCATCTTGCTTCAATATCAACAGGATCGCAGCCGATGGTCCAGGTTCCGCGGACTGTCACCTTCAAGCCGCGTTCTGTTTCGATTTATCCTGAAAACACAGTTGTTCGGGTTCTCTAACAAAGTGTGTTCTCCTCAGGCTCCGGCCCGGCTTCAATTCGGCAAATGCACGTCTCTTCCCGTTTTCTGCCTGCGTTTCGAGTGTACGCTTGTTTCTCCACCCGTCTTCCACCAGTCCAACCAGTTGGCAATACAGCGCCGTCCCGGCCCAGTTGGTCGGGGAAGAAGGGTGCCTCCCCGCAGTCCGGCTGGGGACCAATATTACCCATCATCACCCACACGTCATTGAGTTTTCATCCCTACGTCTTCCCCGAAGACGGGGGGCAATGGCAGGTGGGCCCTTGCGAGTGGCCTGTCTTTCGGTTTCTTCTATTCCCTTTTTTTCTCTCTCTCTCTCTCTCTCTCTCTCTCTCTCTCTCAGAGGCTCGAACCCAAGCGCCGTCCACTTTAACGACAAAAATGCTGAGCTCGGAGTTCTGGCCCGTTGCCCAGTCTTTGGCCTTCCACCAAGCTGTCAAATATACACTCCTGGGCTCCAATGTTAATACGGAGCAGCCTCCAAGCGGTGCAGTCTTTGCTTAGCTATGTAGCGGCCTATAGGATATGAGATCAACGATAATAGACCCTTAGGAAAGGTGTTAATCCCATTCAATCAGCCAACGGAATGCTGTCTGACATTTGGGGTGCAATTATCTTTTCTTTATCGGGGGATTGGATTGCTGACCCTGGTAACCTATATGCATGGGTGATATGTATCTTCGGTACGTACTGCCAGGCCTGTTTCGTCGTGCACTTGATCCCTTGTTGCCTGAGGTCTTCTGGGAAACATGTGTTCTCCTCCTGGGGGCTTCCCTGTGTTTATCAAGACGATCCTCTGGTCCCTGAAGTTCTGGACCGTCCTCTGAACATGGGGTCTAGCTGCAGCCACAAAGTCAAATTTCGGAGGTGCCATCAAAGCGAACTGCCAGACCATGGGATTTCGGGTCCATGCTGAAGTGCTGATGCAAGAGAAGACGTCCATGTTGCCAGAGAAAGGTGATGAGACAAGCCACAGTCGGCAAGAGATTACCTACAGGATGCCTGTCTTTCCTCCTGTCTGTTGGATGCTTCCAAACATACGAGGGTGGAGGGCTTTGGTCCCCTTTCCCCCTCTTCTGCTCTTCTTCGGTCTGACCCTCCCCTCCCCTCAGACCCTTGCTAAGGATGCG